CTAGTTGATTACAAGTGATTATAAGTAGACCCAAGGTTGTGACAGTAAAAAAATAAATAAATAAAAGGTTAGAGGAAGCTCACCAACCCAGGCACTGACTCACATAAGCTTTATTTTCTCTCTTTAAGAAAACCTACCCAGAAACATGTCATTTTTTCTTATTGGTATTTAGTCAATATAGGAGTACTTACGTATGTTACATATCTTGCATTTGCTGATATGACTTGATTATTATCTAGAGAGGTATGTGTTAACAGGAATTCTACAGTGTAGTGGGTCAAAGATAGTGAAATAAAAGCAACAATAAGATCCTCATTATTTAAGAAAGCAAGAAAAGAAAATATTATACACACACAAATGAAATCTGTCAATGTTAGAATGTGGTACATGAATTGAGAGTATGAAAAGAATGGAAAAAGTCCACTGGACTAAGTCATTCAACAAGAATTTTATAGACACATATAAGGAATAACATCAGTATAGTTCACCTACATATACAACTTATAATCTAAGAGAACATATTCAACAAATAACCTCAAAAATAAATAATAAGAATGTTATGTTATAGAGAGCAATTTTAAAGGAGGCTCTGAGAGTTTTATACTTTTGACAGCTACACAAATGGCATAATTAATGAGAAATCTAAATTTAAGCTAAGACTTAAAGGATAAGTTTTAGAAAGGCAGATAAGGAATGGGAATCAGAGATGATAGCACATGCAATGATTCTGAGAAAAAAATGAATCCAAACACATGAAAATGGAATTCAATATGGCTGAGGTACAATGAACAAGAGCTCAGTCCACACACAAGGCTAAAACTAAGAAAGCTTGGCAGACGCTAGGTCAAAACGTGTCTGATATATTAAGATGGCTAGGGATATATCTCAGTGGGCAAAGTGTTTGCTGAATAAACACAAGGAATTAAGTTCAGTCCCCAACACCCATGGGACGGTACATAGGCACATATCTGTAAAGGCAGCTCAAATAGTGAACTCCAAGTTCAGAGAAACATTGCCCCAAAAAAATAAGGCAAAAAATTGACAGGAAAAAGATAACCTGATGTTGAATCAGGCATCAACACATGAAGACATAAACAAGAACATCTACTCACATATTTGTAGGTATACTATATATATACATGATGAAGGAAGGATGGAAGGAATAAAAAATAAAAATAATGTGGCATTAGTGTTTTAGGAAGTAACTAATAAGATGCACTATAAAACAATCTCGATAGATGCACTAAAGTAAGACTGATTAGGAAACTAGCTAAAGTTAAAAGTATACAGTAACAATTACAGGGAATAGTCATGCTGCTTCAGACAATGGCAGTGGCAGTACAGATGGAGTGCAGGTCTGAAGTATATTTCAGCTGTGACTAGAAAGTAGTTAATGACCTTTCCTTGATCAATTTCAATGCATAATTTAAGACAGTTGAACAGTGAATAGGAACTAAGGCAACAGAGAGTGAGTGGAGATTTCTGAAGAAGCTGACGATAGCTAACAGAAAGAGGGCAGTAACTAGTAGGATCCTTGGGTCAGAGAAACATTTTAATTCAAACATCTATCCACCCATTTTAGGCAGCAAGTAACAAGATTTATTTTCTTGAAGAGAATGCCAGAGTAGAGTGACAAATTGAAGCAGCGAGAGAAAAACACAAGTATAGTAAGTAAGAAATAATGCTGTCTGGAATTAGATGGGCTAGTAATACCCAAAGCAGAAATAGGAAAAATGTGCATGTCCTAGAGCATCTATCTTTCTCATCACGCTCTCCCCCAACCTCCCTTCCTTTAGTAAATCACCGTACCTAAAAGCACAGCCTGTGAATTGTAACTGAATTCTACATCTCCTATTTACTATGCAGCTTTGGAACAGTTGCCTGAGTTGGGCTGGTCTCAGTTCCTCAGCAGTAGTTCAGAGATAATAACAGTGTCAACCTTTACCTTACAAAACATAAAAGAACATGAATACATTGCCTGGCTTGACCTTCTGCAGACATTACATAAGTAACCACAGGTGCTGTGAGTTGATATGGGCCCTGGTAAGTTGTCCACACCTCACAGGGTAACTCCACAGCCCTGTGCATATAGACAGCATTAATTGCACTCAGGGGCTATTGATAACAAAAATGAGGACATGAAGTTGGGAAGAAATGAGGGTAGGCACGAGGGGGGAGTTGATGGAGGCAACATTGGCCAGAAATGATTAAAACATGTTATATAAACATATGAATTTTCTGATGAATAAATTAAAAATATTATTTAAAATATGGCCCACATAAAAATGTTAGCACAAAGTACAATTTAGTAAACTTTTGCTATCAGTATCACTGCAATGGAGCATTAGTAATAAAAACTGACTCTCTCCTTTTCTGAAATTTCACAAAGAAGGAATAAATTTAAAAAATGGAGGAGGGTAGGGATAGATCTATTCTGCAGTACTTGCCTAGCACATGGGAGATCCTCAGCTTAGTCCCCAGAGCAACAACAACAAACAGCATTACTCTAAGAACAAGGCTGAGTAACTCCAGTCTCTAAGAGGTTGATACAGGAGACTAGCTTGAAATCATGGTAGAAACCAGCCGGGGTGATGTAACAACAAAGCAACTATGGAGACAGAAGAGACACTAAGAGGTCCTGAATTGCTTTTGCTATGCCAATGGCAAAGAAGGGTTTGTAGCAGATGAAAAGAATGGATGTACAGAAAGAAGAAGAAATGGTAAGAAATGAAAGACAGGAGAACACGGAAGCAAGAGGTTGAAACCTATTTTCTAAAAGTCAGGGAAGCACTGAAGGATTTTGATACTGAAATCATAAATATAATTTTAATGTGGATATACTAAATAACATTGGCAATGGCTGAAGAAAGCCGAGGACAGGGACTTTCCAAAGTTGGGGGTCCTCTCATTATTGAGAATGATTCTTCTTTTCAAAGGTATCTTCCCATTAGTCAGCTAATATAAGTTTAAGGGTTAAATAGTATGATAGTATATTCTCACAGAACTAATTTAAGTTGATATTTTTAGTGCATATTTTATGTTTCTTTCCTTTTAAAATCTCTGCCTCACACTTTTATCATATATGGTTCTTATGACTCCACAAACATCCACTACCTATTTTACACAAGAAACTGCAAACAACTTTAAAAGACTAGGGTTATTGTTTATTATTACTAATTAATTACTAAGGTTATTATTATATAATGAATATTATGTTTGTTAAAAAGAGTGTGTGTAACCTTTATTTAGTAAGTCTCAATTGATACTCCTAGGCAATTTACATAGTATAAACTGCTTAGCAATGTAGTAGATTCTCTCTGACACCACCCCAGCAGAGAGAGAGAGAGAGAGCAAAAGACAGTGAGAGTACACAAGGAGAGTAGGAGAATTTATGCATAAACAGCCTTAAATATTGATAGTTATGTGCATAAACAAGAAATTTCTTCCATTTTCTATTTTTGCCTTTAGTTCAGAAGGTATATTGCTTTTTATGCACCCCAATTTCATTTCCTCAGTGAAGTACCAAGGATATTCCTCGTGAAGGACTTGCTTGGCAAACTAATACATCTTTCAAGATAAACTGCACTCGTGAAAAAAATGGTTTCTGAGAAACTATGTAGTGTACCTACTGTAAAACTCATAACCATCATGATGCAGCTGAAATCTCAGACTGTGTATAGCCCTGCTTCAATTATAAGATGGATCTGAGCTGCTTAGATTACAAGTGTGGACTTGGGGCTACAAATTTTATTATTTAGCACTCTGCTAAAGTGCCACCAGTTAATAAATAATACAGAGTCAATTCAGTTGACTAATAGATCTGATTTAAAAATGAGAGAAATATGTTCCCCATCTCCATTATATGTTCTATTTGATCCAAAATTTGCTTGTCTAGTTTCCTTTTCAAGGATTTGACAAATCTTTCTACTCAATGTAGGCATCAGCATGATCTAGAATCAAAATAATTTAAATATGGACAAGAGTTTATTGTATATGCTAAAAAAGAACACACTTACTCCAATTTCATGGAGTTTAATATGAACAAGATTTCAAAACTGATGGAGGAAATCAGATCAAATCTAAGTTGTAGCCACTTTGAAACATTATGAGATATTTTGAATGAAGTTGATACTTGAAAACAGATCGAATGATAATTTTACAATCCTTTGCTTACAAATGAAAAACAATTAGAAAGCCAGAGTAAACCAGAAGTTCATATAGCAAATAAATCTGTCCTGAACACCATAGTTAAAAATAGCTTTTAGGGGTTGGAAATTTAGCAGAGTAGAGTAGGAGAATGCGTGCCTAGCAAGCACAAGGCTGTGGGTTCGGGCCCCATCTCTGAAAAAAAAAATAGGTTTTATTCAAAGAAACTAATTTCAATGTCCTTTCTTTTCTTTCTGGCCATTCATTTCAATAGCAGGTTTGTGGTATTTTATTATATGATGACATTCTTTATATTAAGTCATTTTTTTGTCATTTGAAATGATGGGGATAAGGATAAAGGGTTAAATTACATAAGGTACCTTTGTAAGTTACTTGACCTAATGGAAACACAAATTGCAAGTTCTCAATTGATTATTGACACTCTAGAAAATTTGAAAATATGGCATTTCTTGATACAATGTATATAGTAAAAATAGTTGCTAGTTTTTTAAAAAATTTCTCTAAATATTATTATTTTTATTTCAGCTTTAGTTTTTAGGGGGCTAAATTCTAACATTCAGATCTGAAGGGAAGAAAATTAGTCAATTCAATATAGCATGCTATTTTGCATGCATTAATTTCATTAAATATCAACATTGTTGAAAAGAATGATTTGACATTTGTTTTGTGAACTTAAAAAGTAACATATTTAATTTTCAATACCACAATGATGAAGGTAAAGATGTTTTCTAAGTCAATATTATATTTAATAATGTAGCTATAAAGTAAAAGAAATAAAACAATGTATATGTTTGTGAGAAGTGTATCCTTATACCTTTGTGATCAATACATACCACAACACCAAACTGCTCCGGTTCACAGAGATCATTATATTCATTCTTAAGCTGTGCTAGTTCTCTGAGTACATTCTGCTCAGGAAGATGTTTAACAAGATTCTAAAAAGAATAGCATAAAAGTTAGTAGTTAGTATCTGATCAGTAAGATTTTTAAGCATACATCAGCAGTATATTAAAAAACAACCAACCCTTTAAATTAAGAAAAACAATGTATAAACTAGCTGCAAAGGGAAGTTGTGTTAGCATATGAAAGACCCATAACTTCTGGTATAGCTATACATCACAATAGACGAATCACCTTGTCCTGCTGATTGGCTAATTTCAACCAGGAATAACGTCTGACATACAAGCAGACATAATGTTTAATGTGGACATCTGCTGACCCCATCAAATTGCTACATAATCATCAAAGTTAGATAGGGAGTTGCTTTTAGAAACTGTTTTACTGATGCTAAACTACAACAATCACTATTAATAGTACATATGATTTTCAATTTCCTGTATCTTTACCAGCTATGAAGGATAGTTTCCTGTCAACTTGAAACAAGCTAAAGTCAATTAAGAAAATGTCTAAAAAAGATCTGGTTGTACAAAACCGTGTAAGGTATTTTCTTAATTAGTGATTCATGGAGGAGGCCCCACTCATTGTGGGTGGTGCCTTTAAGAAAGCAAGTTGAGCAAACTATAGGGATTAAGCCAGTGAGCAGCATCCTTCTGTGGCCTCTGCCTCAGTTCCTGCCTCCAAGTTCCTGCCCTGTTAGAATTCCTGTCCTGACTTCCTTTGATGATGAACAGTGATATGAAAGTGTAAGCCAAATAAACCCTTTCCTTACCAACATGACTTTGATAATAGTGTTTCATAAAGCAATAGAATCCCTAAGACACCAGCAAATGACATTAAAAAACATTGTAGTGAGTGTGAAGTAGTGATTTTTCAATACCATTGTGAAGCCAGTTTAAACTGGAATAAAATTGACTTTAGCACAGAAACCAAGGAAACTATGTATATGACATCACACAGAAGTGTGATTTTATTTCCTCTGTAGACCAGGCTGGCCTTGAGTCACAGAGATCCACCTCCATCTGCATCCAGTGTGCAGGGATTAAAGGCATATGCTACCACAACCAGGCTATTGGAATTTTTTTGTCTTAAGTATACTGATAAGAAAAGCAAAGATAGACTTTGTAACATACTTTTCACTACAGTGCAACTAAATTATATAGATTAAAAGTATTATTGAAATTATGAAATAATTTTATTCAACATACTTAAAACTTTCCATTTCAATGTCACATGTCCTATGCTTTATTCTAACCCTTACCTACATGTCACACCTCCAGAGAAAGGAGCACAGAAAAAGCCATTCTCTCTAATTTTCCATAAAGCATGGATTCTTGGCTCTTAGAATGCTTCTATATACCAAGAGGCGAATGTTTCTTCTGTCTATACTGTATACTCTCAGAGTAATCTTACACAGGAAATGGGGAAAATCACTCTCAGCTGCTACCTGGAAATGGAAAAATTCATTTGGAGAATGTGTAAGTTACTTGCAGAGGTGACTAGAAATGCCCAATATAGAAAAGGCTTCTGCAAAATCAGTTCTATGACAGTGGCCAAGAGCAATTGTCAATTTCATAGAGACATACTCAAGCAGTTAAAACTGTTACTGCAAAATTCGTATTATATAACGACTCTTCACTTGAAAAAAAATAAAAGAGCTCTTGAATTTAGTGTTTCATTCACACTGCAACTATTCTGCTTTGTAAATAAATTGAAAAGTTCGATTAATAGTTCACATACCCACCACATGTGGGAGAAATTTCATCATAGTATTAGAAATTGGACACAAACAAATAGTCAAAAAACCCTTGAAATGCAATAGAATCTGACAAATTACTGGGTAATAGACGAAGGAACTGCAAGTTTTAAGGTATGATCCATTCTATTTCTCTCTCCCTTATTGCCACTTAATAGCATGCTTTTCTCTCTCAACTACTTCACAATTTGTGCTTGAAAGATCAATTCTGGGTGAGTATGAAAATTTCATTCTAGAAAATGTCAGTGAGCTGAAGTTTACTAAGAAAACAACAAAGGAGAAAGAAGAAAGTATGCCACCAAATGAGGAGTTCTTTCCCCTCATCATGTATGCATCACAAATTCACTTTCTGATAACTGTCAGTGTTATTTGAAGACATTTCTCCTAACTGACCATAGGCTTCTAACTACTTTTTACATTTATGCAATTATTCTATAATGCTTCCAAAACTTTATTTCTTTTAAATGTTAATTGCACCTGTAAAGGTTACTTAAGTAAAGGTATTGAACCATACTGCCCTTTCCTTCTTGACAAAACATAACCTTTCTTTTTTTGTCTTATATCTCATTAAGTCATTTTAGTAGTAGAGAACTGAGTTAAGTTCACTCTGATTAACTCTATCATTTACCACATAAATGGACCAGGGCCAATATTTCTTTTAAACTGTATTATTGTAGCATTTTCTAGCCATGAACAGAGGGATAAATGGAAAGATACAGAAATTGATTTAAATTATATTGATAAGTATACATGCACAGATTAATGAAGACAAGGATGTTTTTCTCAAAAAGTTGCCAAAGTTTCTGTCATATTAAGACAACTTTCTCCAATTGCTTGAACAAAAATTTCAATTCATTAAGTATTATATGTTATTAGGGCATGCTTTCTAACACTTTCTTATGGCTTAACGAGTTGTGTATGCATGTGTGCATATGTGCTGGCTAGTTGCACATCAATTTGACACAAGCTAAAGTCATCTGAAAAGAATGAGCCTCAATTAAGAAAATGCCTCCATAAGACCAGGCTGTAAGCAGGGCAGTAAGGCATTTTCTTAATTAGTGTTTGATGGGGAAGACCCAGCTCCTTGTGGGTAGTGCAATCCCAGGGCTGGTGGTCCCTAGTTCTGTAAGAAAGTAGACTGAGGATCAAGACATTAGGATCAAGCCAGTAGGCGGCATGCCTCCATGGCCTCTGCATTATTCCTGCCTCCAGGTTCCAGCCCTACATGAATGCTTGATCTAATTTCTTTTGATGATGTACAGCGATGTGGAAGTTAAAGTCAAATAAACACTTTCTTTCCCAACTTGCTTTTTGGTCAGGGTGTTTCATGAAGCAACAGAAACCATAACTAAGCATATTTAAGTCTTTTATATTATATTCCTGTGTTTTTGATCTTTGTTCTTGAGGGTAAATACAAAAACATCTGTTTTCTTTTATATAGTACCAAAGGCTGGTACTTTCCTTATTTTTTTTTGTTTTAAATATATGTTTGCCTCTTAATACTCGTTGCCTTCAATGTAAATGCCACATTACCCATTAGATACTGTGCTACTGGAGGATTCCAAGTCTCAAAGGGACATGTATGCTCCTGTGAAACCACGTCATGCTTAAAACAATAGCAGTATGTCTTCCAAATGATGTAAATGTGATAAGGCAAATCTTTTCTTTTGATTAGAAATACCCAATATCTGTGCAAATCTTATAGTTACAGAGCAAATATAAATTGAACAAATCTAAAAAAATGGCTCCCAAAGAGAATGGCACTATTAGTATTGTGTTTTTGTTGATGTAGGTGTGGTATTGTTGAAAGAAGTGTGTCACTGTGGGGGCAAGCTTTGGGGTCTTTTACTCAAGCTTCCCTGAATGTGACAGGAGTTGAATTCCTGTTGTTTACAAGATGAAATACACTGTGCTATTGCTGCAGTTTCATGTCTGCCTGCATGCTGCCATGATTGCCTTCATGATCATAAAGGACTGAACCTCGGAAACTGTTAGCGATCATTCTTTCACCAAGATTGGTTACATACACAGCTTCTAAGTTTTCAAAACAACAAACGCCACTTCAACCATAGTTAAAGTTAGCATGACTGTTGCTCTGGAGTCAATTCCCAGAAGTGAACAACAGTAAACAAATAAAAAAAATACCAAAGCAAACAAACAAGTCTAGACACTGGGATACTACTAGCTTATAGCCATATTAATTCCCATATGATAAAAATATGATATATTAGAACACATAGGATATATTAACATACCATTTCAGGAAACATTGCACCACTACTCAGTAATTCCAAATATACAAATCATCTATTCTGAAACACTAGAGACAGTACTAATAAACTATAGTGTGTGAAAATAAAATCATAGAAAGGACTAAACACAGACAAAAGGGCCCTACCCACAAGGTTTGAGCCAGTAAGTTTGAGTTTATGGTGGATATTATGTACTTCAACATATATGAGATAAAGCACTTGAAACCATCAGATCTAGAGAAGGTTTGCAAGATTTAGACAAACAGCATGTACAGAAATATTTAAGACAAAAGTGTTATACTATCAGTGTTTATGACCACAAATAAAAGTAACTATAATAAAATAATACCTATGTTGTACTTTACCTTTTACAGAGCATTTGAAAAGGGAAAAAACCTAACCATACACTATAGTTGCACGTCCATATGCTGCAAAATCATGAAGAATAAAATGGAGCTGGGCCGTGGTGGAACACACTTTAAGTCCCAGTGCTTGGGAGTCCGAGACAGGTGAATCCCTCTGAGTTCCAGACCAGCCTGATCTACAAGAGATAGTTCCAGGACAGACTCCAAAGCCACAGAGAAACCATGACTCAAAAAAAACAGACAGAAAAAAGAATAGAATGGGGATGATGAGCATCAGTTTGAGGTTCATGTTTTCTTCTGGGGAAGAAGGATAATAAATGCATTTCATAAGCATTATTACGATGGGCATTGTCATATGCTATAATGACTTTAATGAGCCAGTCAGCAACATTTTTCTACTAACCATTACTGTGTAGATACTATCCTTCACATCTGCAAGGGATATACTCACTTTTCAGTTTGTTTGTCCTCTGAACAACAATCATGAAGGCATAAAGTAAACTACTTCACGTCTTCTTGTGAGGGTGGTTGTTTCAGAAAATAACTGTCAACATTTTTATAGACTTATAAAATATTGCACACATATGCACAAGGAGAAATCAATGACTTTTAAAAGAATAAGAGACAATCACATGATTTTGAGCAGGTCATATTATCGGCCACTT